GCATGGATGTGCTTGTCAATTCGTCTTTGTAGTCTTTTGCTGACATAAATGATGTCTTTGCTTGTTTGCTCAAACAGAAATAAAATCAAGACCTACATGACTGGTCAGGAATGGAAATATACAATGTCCCTTGACAATTCATGAGTGAAATCATGAAGCAAGCAAGACATAAATAATTGTCTTCTTATACGGTAAGAATGATATGGTGCAATTTCTGCTTCATTCCTAACCACTGGGAAAACTACTTGGAGAACCATATCAGAATGCTCTCACTGTAGCGGCCAGAATGCCTGCCCTCTGTTCCATGCATCAGCTAAATTGTTGATGGTTCTTCTTGTTGCACAGGGGAATACAGCTGGAACAAATTCTAAAAACGCCATATTGGGGACTGGTTCAGGTGAGTTTGTTGATAGTGAATCCAACAGTTATCATAACTCACCATGCAGCAAGCAGTCTGAGTACCAGAAGTAAATGCTTTGCTACAACCCAATTTAGAAAGCCAGCTAATATTGTATCTAGGTGTTAATATATCTAAAAATATCACTCTGAACTGTAACTGAAAAATTACCTCTTGTTCCCACAGTAGATTGTTGAATAACACAGTGCAAAAAAGCTTACATACAAAAAACCTGTGAAATATGGTGGAACCTTTTTAGTTGTGTTTTAAATACAATGCAAGGATAAATTACATGGTTTGATGAATTTGAAAATGCCTTCATTAAAGACACCACATTTAAATATATTTTTAAAAACATTGCTTTGCAATGAATATCAAAAAGCGTTATGCACGCTGCTTGTTCATTCGACCCTAGCTTGCAGGGTTGAGACAACTTTACGTACATTTCAGAAATACAGTATAGCTATAAATATGCCCTTAAACATGTTTGCTGTTTGATGTATGCTGTTCATTAATAATAAATGATGACACTGTGGTCAAACACATTATGTGATACTTGAAGACACTGTACATGAGAAATAAATGTCCATATGGTACTGTAACAGTAGTACAGTATGGAGTGAAAAAACATCTTCAAAATGAAACTGAGTTAACTGTTAAATGCATGAACAGGCATGATTACAATGCACTTCATTGTCCTGCATGGAGAAATACTTTTAAATTCACACCACACTTAAAATCACACAATCACTGTGAAAGGGATGGAGATTTTCCAGTAGGTTTCACTGTAGTTGATTTTGTTGTACTATACATTACCATTAATTAATGCTCTATAGCCAAGTTCATCCAGTGATATTTTTTTAAAAAGCCACTGAATTCATAGGCCTAATTATTATTAATTGTCTAGGCATATTTCTGTAGTAAAACGTTCATGTAACACACCACAATACCACAATAAATCACATTATTTAAATGATCATGTCAGATGACAGGTACAATCTTGTTGGTTACCTGCTGTGTGAGATTCGCTGTTCTGAACTGCAGAGCAACTAACATTGCAGGTGTACCACAGATCAGTGTAAGCACTTCCTGCTACCCACCAGGCCTACAAGTGAAATAGGTTACAAAACATCATCAGACACAGGTACAGAAACCATTCTGACAGCTAAAGCCTTCTGTTAAAGCTAGCTGAAATCACATTCCATCCAATATCCAGGTAGTTTCATAAACTACTCATTTTAAGTCATTTTTTAAACAAAGATGGAAAGCATGTAATATGTCTTGTATTAAATGAAATGAAATGAAAATACAGAAATCCATGTTTGCCTGGGATGTTATGTACTTATGAGGTTTACTTCCACAGTAGTCCTTTTTAGATAACAATAACAGACACCACTGAGGTTTTATGGGTGCCTGAAAGCTGTAGTCTACAATTTTTCTATTATTTATCTATTTGTATATCTACTCTCTGTCTGTCAGTCCCCCCCTCTCTTTCTGTGTGTGTGTGTGTGTGTGTGTGTGTGTGTGTGTGTGTGTGTGTGTGTGTGTGTGTGTGTGTGTGTGTTTGTTTATGTGTGTTTATGGGGAATTCCAGACTCGAAAAAGACTACACACTGTCCTCTTACATTATTTATTGTTGCAATGAAGAGCAGTGTAGCTGAGATGACATGGAAGAGGATGATGAAAGCTAGTATTATCAACATGGCTCAGAGATAGGAGGTCTGGGGCAGCCTTGTGCCTAAAAATCAGGGCAGAAAAGGAAACACATGTCAGATGTTCACTGGCAAACATGGAACTGACAAAGGACCAATGTCCACTTTGTTTCTGCCTACCACATAAAGCAGTTTTAAGCAATTGCTGTAAACACAGAATTATTATGTTAAATGGAAACAGAAGCTGGTTTCATTTACAATTCCACAATAAAAGAAATTTACACTTTGTATCATAATTTCTGATAACATTACACATAAGTTAACTGTTGACCCACTTACATTTGTAAGGAAATGGCAAAGGTCCAAACATGTTCATCACTGATGAACAAAGTGCATACCCACATTACACATTCATAAACAGACACACTGCCACTGTAAAGAAATATCTTATACTCGTGATTGTGGAAGTGGTGACATGACTAAATAAACAAGAACACAGAGGACTTATTCATATTATAAAGACAAGAATGGACCAAAAAGCATATGGTCTCTCTCTAAAAAGACAGGACATGTAGGAATCCTTTCTGGCAGCCTGGTTGCTCTTATCAGTACGCCCTGAACTGACCCTTGTGTACAGCACTGAGAGCTGCTCAACATGATTCTTTGAAAATCTAAGATCAAAACTTTTTAGATACGACTGCCTGTGTGAATTTCATGGAAAAGTCATACACAGAATGCCTCTGGCTGTGAATGAATCTCAAAAAGAATATGCTTCTTATCACAAGGTTTCATTCAGAGGGGTTTTTATGTGCATGTGGGGTGCGGTGTGCAGCTACTGATTACCTTGAGATAATCAAAATGGCAAATGTTATATTTCAGTAAGGAAACTTTTTGTCAATCATTCATCTTTAATTTCAAGTCAGTTGTGACCTTCTGGTAAGTGTAATCCAAAATAAATATGAAATGATAGAAAGCTGCGAATGGCACTCAGAAAAAAGGTGTTGTGTTTATTATTTATTTAGAAATGTCAGCATTGTTCTGAACACTTTTTCTCATGGCTGCTTTGTTAACTAGGTTGTTCAACATTTGAAAAATGGATGAAAATGCTTGATTATTGTCACAAATGAAAATGTTTCATGAAATCTACTCAATATAACTAGTCACAAGAAATTAAATCCACATCTAAATGTTCTTTCCTTGATCTTCATCTGAATATCAGAATTGAATATCAGAATATTATTTTTTATCACATTTAAAGCAATTAGGCTTATTCAAAAGGACAAGTATTAATAATGGTTTGCACAAAATCCAAAAAATATACATACTTTTGAAAGTGATCTTTAGGCAACCTATGTCTAGCATATTAAAAAAAAATCTTTGTTTCTTGATGTAATAATCTATCATCTGTACCATGGGTTTACTTTTGTTTAAGAATGGGGATGAAGAGGTTGTCCTTTAAAATGCAATGTTAACTTAAACTATGGCACAATAAAACAAGACGAACAAAAAATCTTTGCTGTGAGAAACAGGAGACGCAAGGGGGGGTTGATTCTGTTCATGAAAAGCAGTCTTTACAAAACCTTCTGAATTGTGTGCATCTTGTAAGTGTCTCTGAGTCATCTCATTTTCCTTTCATCTTCACACAGACCTGTGCCCTTAACTCAGCACTTTCATCACCCTATCCTCCTCAAGCTCTTTTGAGAGGAGAAACTCTGAATTGAGGGCTTGAAGACAGCACCACAAGGCAGTTTTCTTTACAAAACTGGCTGGCAACTCCAATGACCTCTTCCTTCCTCTGTCAAAACAATTTCTTTGCCTGAACCCTTGTCCTCCGTATCTACGTACTTACCTTGAGGATAATTATATCAACAGACATTTAAGTGGGCTAGAAAAACAAACAGCAGGATGAAGTACCTTTGCTTCACATGATGCATAATTACATGTTCATCTGACCTTAATGACTGATTATTACAATGGGTTTGGTATTTGTTTTGGCTTTATCAAAAGTGAAACTAATTTCACATGCATAAATTCCACCTAAAGCAGAGTCTTGCTTGATAGCAGTGCTGTCCAGTTCATCATCTCCCCTACTACTACATACTCACAGTGGTCTGCCATGATTTACAACTGCTGGGCTGTGCTTTTTTTCTAACATGACCTCCTGCAAAAACCTATGCTGGAGCATACAGTGCGATCAGGATACCACCTGGAGGCTTGGGGTTTCCATGTAACTCCACTTTTGTAATCATCTCAGGTGACAGTTACAATGTACTGATAATTAATATGTAAAATTAACATGTACTCCACAGTGAAGCTCACATTTAAGGTCATTATGAATCCCTGTTCATGCAAAGGCAGCTCACCTTCCAGCACAGTGTTGCACCAGGACAACAACATTTGATTGATGTCTGATATAAAGTCCTTTCCAATAGTCTTTCCCAACCACACCAATATGACAGATTAGCATCAGTAATGCTAGAGAGCTGTGCTATCATGCTAGCATGAAATGCAGGTAATGGAAAACAGTTACACGTGAGAAAGCCATAGCTCCACACCATGTCTCTAACAGGAATAACACTGATGGTTTTGATGGCCCAATGATCTAAATCTGACACCAAGATGCCACAAGCCTTGATTTGACCTTGCCCTTCCTGTTGCAAATACTAATGAAGGATCCTATGGGTGGTGAAAATAGTTTCTGTTCTGAAAATATTGAAAATCTCCTCCACAACTATGACAAAAGACCCACAGGTGCTTAATTTAGCCCCACAATAGATCAAAATGTTATCTGAATATGGTTTCTGACCCTTAAATTTTAAACTACACTGGCAGTTTTTCAGCAAATAAAGTGAATATGGGCTGAGACTTTAAAAAAACAGGTAAAACTTTACTGGTAAAGCATATCGCATAATTTTATTTTATAAGTTACTGAACTGTACCAGAGCTGTGGTGTGTTGGTGGTATAGTGGTTATCAAAGCTGCCTTCCAAGCAGTTGACCAGGGTTCAATTCTCAGCTGATGCAAAAAATGCTAGTTGTATCAAACCTCACTTGTAAGCTGCTTTGGATAAAAGCATCCCCCAAATGAATAAATGTAAATGTGTCCTTCTGTTTCAAACTACTAATAGGCTTCAGAGTAGTCACATTTTAAAATGCAATGATGAAAGAAACACCTACAATGGGCAACAACTTGTTTATGTGCCTGGATGAGCCTATCATAATTTTTTGCTTTCTCATCTCATCCTCTACTACCACTTAATTTCCCTGATGCTGAAAGAGTCACTGGTTTCCTGTGCACTTGAACTTTCTAAGATTTGTTCCATGAGAGACTGTTCGATGTTATAGACTAAAAAAACAACTTTCCTCCACCCCATTTCCTCACAAGTTATTTCTTTATTTATTGTATTGTTGTTTATTGCATGGTTCTGTACAGTATAGCCAATAGAACTGATTAAGCAGAATGTGCCATACAGAAGATATAAAGATCAGTCAATCATTATAAGAAAGAGCACTACGCTGTTGCAATTAGTTACTGTTAGTGACAGTATTTGATTAGCTTCTACACTGCACTTACCACAGCTTGTAAACAGGACATTCTGTTTTACTATCTTGAAGGGGAAATGATGAGTTTACCAATCCTAATCCGCAAATTCCGAATTTTTACATTGTGATGGATTCCTGAGATCCCTAATAATACCAACACTACAAGGAAGCAGCACGTTTCCACTAGATTCATTCAAACTATGGAAAGTGTTCATTTCCGATTACAGATAAAACATCTTACTGAAACTGAATTCCAGGAACACTGATCCCACAGTTTTGTGCATTCCTTGCAAGACAGTCACTCCCAATATTTTAAGAATAGATTGCATTGTTCTGCTGAGTATAAATGAGTGAAGGCAGAGGTTAGCGTTAGTAAACAGTGGTGTGTGGTGGTCTCAACACACATGTGGTTTCCATTTACTATATCATTCCTTTTATCTAAAGGAGAGGGTGAGAGTCGGGAGGGAGGGAAACCCAACAGAACCATGAAGGAATGAAAGAATATGCCAAACACAATACAGAATCATGTAAATTGACAAACAATATCACTGCACTAGGGGAGTGACAACTGATTGATTAGAATCACTGCATTGGTACAGCTCTTTATGACACAGCTACGCCTATTCAAATTCATCAGTCCAGTCGTGTTTTGGAGGAAAACAGTCAAATATCAATCCACTCATCATAAAGTGGACAAAAACCGTTACAGCTGTCACAGATCTTTTTTTTAACATATTATTTTTTCCTCCAAAAGTTGTATAGGCCAATTTTTCCTACCAAAAGTAGAGACTGGGACATAAAACCAAAGACATAAAACTGTATTGTACCATAATGAACATCCATGGGTAGTTTCGACCTATGGATGTTCAATATGGTTTTTATGTCCTTGCAGCCCCGCTCCGACTGCGCTCTGAAAATAAACAACCATGTAACTGTTTCTTCCTAGAAATGGTAGACAGTATGGGTACAATATTCAGCGTGCCAACAATCCTGAACTCCAACATGTAAATACACTTTGGGTTTTACAGGAAAGACTGAAATTTGGTAAAAACTCTTGCAATATGCAAAAAATGTTCAGCTGAGATAAAATATTTCAGCAGCATCACAAACCTCTCCACACCTATGTGAAGATGGCATGATGTCACTGAGACCAAAGCTCGCCTGTTAGCAATGCAGCGAATTACGCGCAAGCTGAGACTGCAACAGGTATTAAAACCTTTTTCCACAGTTCCCTCGAACACAACTCTCTCCAGTCAAAAGCAATAACAGCTTCAGCTGGCTACTTCATTTGCAAGGACTTGCTCATTTTATGAACTATAGCTTTAACAAGAGTTATGGATTTAGATGATCGCTGCCCTGGATCCCATGTACACCAAACCCAGCAGACAATATTTTTCAGAAAAATATATCTGGGAGCTGTATGCTAAAGCACAACAGGCAGAGCGAGTGGCCACAGTATAAGAGTGGCCACAGAATCCCTACAGCTGAAATTAGCTCTTTTTAATGTCAGATCATTGGCTAACAAATCTTTTTTGATTAATGATCTGATACTTGAAAAAAATCTGCATTGTATGTTTTTAGTTGAGACCTGGCTAAACAGCACTACTGGTGTAGCAACACTGATAGAGGCTTGTCCTCCAAACTATCATTTTTATCAGTCAGTCAGACAAAGCAGGAAAGGAGGAGGGATTGCAGGCATTTTCTCTACACAGTTTGTGTGTAATGACATTGACCTGGGTGAATTTACATCATTTGAATATCTTGCTCTTGAGCTCACAGCAGAATTATCAGTGCTTGTCATTACATTATATCAGCCACCAAGATATTCATCACTATTTCTACAGGAATTCTCAGAGCTGATCTCACTTGGTATCACTAGATATGATAAATTCTGAATGGAGACCTGAATATTCATATTAACAAAAAGAATGACTCCAAAGCTATGGAGCTTGTGAATCTACTGGACGGCTTTGAACTTACCCAACATGTAAATGAAGCCACTCATCAGCATGGTAACATTCTAGACTTAGTAATAACAACAGAGTTAAACATTGATAATGTTTCAGTATTAGAATTACCTATTTCTGACCATCCCTGTGTGTTTTTTGATGCCAACCTAATCTTAACAAAGACTAAAAGGGAATTTGTGGTTGAAAAGAGATTCCTAGATGGCAAGGCTGAAGCAGAGTTCTCTAATATTATGAGATCATTTGAGCCATACAGTTATGACTGCTCTTTAAATGACATGGTTGAAAATTTCAACAATGCTTTGTCGTCTGCTTTAAATACTGTTGCTCCACTCCAAGGTTAAAAAGAAGTCTACTGACAGAATCTCCCCATGGTAAAAAAATAACAGTGTTAATGAGATTAAGAGAATCTTTCGGGCAGCTGAAAGAAAATGGAGGAAAACTAGACTCACAGTTCACTGTAATATATACAAAGAAGGCATGACTGCCTACAACGAAACAATACATCTGGCAAGAAAGGATTACTTCTCCAAGATTATTACAGAGAATGCTGGAAACTCTAGAATATTGTTCTCCACTATTGACCAGCTACTTAACACTGCCCCCACCCCTCCGCAGTTCTCTGCATCAAAATGTGAAGAACTTGCAATATTCTTTAATGACAAAATAACTTCAATTAGAGCCAGTATTGCTGCTAATGCTAATGCAAACACAGACAAACTCAGCAAACCCTTTAAAAAAGATGTAACCATGGGGAAATTCAATTGTATTACATTAACTGAGCTTTGCAAGACTGTCACTGAGTCTAACTCCTCCACCTCATGTATCGACCCTGTACCTACAGCATTTTTTAAGCGGGTGTTCAGCAGTGTTTCAAGTCATGTCCTGAAGATTATAAATACATCTCTTCAAACGGGTATCTTCCCAGATGCCTTCAAAACAGTTGGTTGGTCTTTCTGACTGTGTGTTAAACTGGTTCAAAACATACATCAAAGGGAGAAGTTTTACGTCAGTCTTGGAGATCATGTGTCTGGGGAACATGACATCTGTTTTGGGGTTGCACAAGAGAGCTGCCTTGGTCCATTATTATTCTCACTTTACATGCTGCCACTTGGTGACATCATTAGAGAGCACAATGTATGCTCCCATAGTTAAGCGGATGGCACGCAACTGTACATCTCTGCTGACCCAAATGATGCTGCAGCTATAAACTCCATTACTACCTGTCTTTTAGCAATGAATAAATGGATGAGCAATAATTTCTTAAAGTTAAACGAGGACAAAACTGAAATCCTACTAGTCGGCCCTAAAACAAAACAAGAAATGCTGTTTAATAATCTGGGGAAATTAACTCCCTGGATTAAATCCGAGGTTACAAGTCTTGGTGTTATCTTAGATTCTGATCTAAGCTTCAAGTCCCACATTAACAAGGTGATGAAAACATCATTTTTCCACCTTAGAAACATAGCTAAAGTACGGCCATTTATAAATCAAAAAGATGCTGAAAAACTGATTCATGCTTTTATTTCAAGCCGACTCGATTACTGTAATGCACTTTTTTACTGGCCTCCCAAAAAAAAAAAAACACTGAGAGAATTCAGCTCACCCAAAACTCTGCAGCTCGGCTATTAACCAGAATCAAGAGGAGAGAGCACATTAGTCCAGTTTTAGCTGCTCTGCACTGGCTTCCTGTAACATTCAGAATTGATTTTAAGGTCCTCCTCCTTTTATACAAAGCCCTTAATGGGCAAGGACCAAGACACATTGCTAACTCCCTTGTCAACTATTTGCCTTCAAGAACACTGCAATCATCTGCTGCTGGTTTATTGAAAGTTTTCAGCAACATCCAAAAGAAAATCGGGGATGCAGCCTTTGTCAATCCCCCCCAAAGCTATGGAACACACTACCCATAGACATCAGGTAAGCCAGCTTGCTAAATATTTTTAAAAGAAAGCTAAAAACTTATCTCTTCACTTTAGCCTTTAACTAGTTATGACTTCCTTGATACAGGCCTAAAATTCTAGCTATGACTTTCCTGATAAAGGCCTGAAATTCTTTTTTGCACTTTGCTTTGCACTGCTGTATTTTACTTGATTTTTTGCATTCTATGTATTCTATTTTTTAACTTTATTTTATTTTATTTTATTATGCATTCTAATTTCACCTTTATTTATCTTTTTGTTATTATTTTTATTTTCCATCTTATTTTACATTAATTATGGCATTCTATCCCTGTTTCTATGTTCATTCCATGTGAAGCACCTGGTGCATGTAATTTCTTTATTGTAAAGCACTTTGAGCTACATTTCTTGTATTAAAGGTGCTATATAAAAGTCTATTATTATTACTATTATTATATAAGAATCAGAAGTTGGACATCTTGTTCAACCGACTTGTCCACGATCCTAACAGTGCATTTTGCAAGCACAAGTGTTTAACTAGGCACACATGGGAGAGAACAGTGCGACTATGTTGCGAGAGGCATGTGTAATATGGGGGACTGATGACAAAAAA